CCAGAACTGAGATTTTTACATTTGCAACTATAAAAAGTGCTATAATTTCCTAGAACAAATGATTTTCTTCTAGGATATTTCTGCCTTGCATGCCCAAGTGTTAAACAAAAATCTCATGTCATTAGTTAGCACTCTGGTTATGTGAAGGGAATGAGTTTCTACTACTACAACACCAACTTTAGTCCAAAATCCATAAAAAGTGTTCAAGTTACAGCCGTGTTTGGGTTTGTTAATGTCTGTTAGCCATRGTAGYCATCTTGTATCGGTTTTTGYAGACCAGTTTTACTTCCTGARAAWTTYRTTAAAATTTGTCCAGCTGCTTATGTGATATTTTACTACTAAACAAACACTTTGAGGATTACATTATTGCCCACCTTTCATGATGGCGGATGACCTGTAGTGGCAAAACGAGTCACAACGAGGAGATCTTTTTAATTCTTTATGATTAGTGTAATTACGTGCGTCAAAGGGCAATGTAGGTGAGGTTTAAATCTCTCATATGGGGATTTTGGTAGCTTGGTGGTCATGATCTCATGATCCTGAGGCCGCAGGTTTGAGCCCATTTTGCATCAGGAAGTTGCCAAATCTTTTATGCGAGTTCGCTTTCTGTGGATCTTTTTAGCTATCGGGTGAAGTTAGTGTGAAATTTGTTAATTGGCTTTACAATACCATGAACAGATTAAGCAAAAAGAAGAAAAATACACCTTTGAATTCAGTCAATCCACTCCTGTCAAGTCCTAGATATGATAGAGTGGAGCGTAAAAGCTCAGCGGCACACAAAATGAGCTTTTCTACATCGTTTTCTTTTTATTCCAGCCTGTCTGCCACCTTGTCTCACTGCTCGTTTGCCTCCTTCCTCAGTCTCAGCCTCGAGTTTAATCAGGAAAAGCAGCTGGAGAAGAGGAGAGAGTAGCTTTTGTCTCTAAGCCGTGCTGCTTTAGCGGCTCCTCGGACCTCGTTTGTATCTCACCGGCTAACGAGGCGAGCCTGGCAGCTTCGCGACGGTATCACAAGGCAGGTGGTCGCCAAGTCAGCCATCTGTGGTTTTTACAAATYGCCACACACACGTTGAACACACTCTTCCAGGAGTACTTTGTCAGCGTCCTCACCTTTGTCTTTTTCCACAAGAGGCTGTCATTTAATCTGACATGACTTCGCTGAGCGACTCAGCCGAAGTTTGATGAAGAAACTGAACCTTGTTAAAACAATCGGAACAAAAGCTAAAATTATCAGAACTCAAGTTAGCAGAACAAAAGCTAAAGGTTCAAATGAGCAAAACAGTAGCTCAATGCTTAGAGTAGCAAGAAAAAAATCCAAAGTCTAAAATTAGCTAAACTAAAATGAGCAAAACAGTAGCTGAGAGCTAAAATGTTTGTGTTTTTGTGCAGCACTCTGAAATGAAAATTTGTTGTGAGTGGCTGCAAAAAATTGAATTAAATTGTAGAAAAACAATCTGAATGGAGGTTAATGGTAAAAATAATAAAAAAAACAGTAGCTAAAGGCCTAAACTACCAGAGCAATAGCTAAAATATAAAACAATCAAAACAGTAGGTAAAGGCCTAAACTACCAGAGCAATAGCTAAAATATAAAACAATCAAAACAGTAGGTAAAGGCCTAAACTACCAGAGAAATAGCTAAAACATAAAACAATCAAAACAGTAGGTAAAGGCCTAAACTACCAGAGCAATAGCTAAAATATAAAACAATCAAAACAGTAGCTCAGGGCCTACACTACCAGAGAAATAGCTAAAATATAAAACAATCAAAACAGTAGCTCAAGGCCTAAACTACCAGAGCAATAGCTAAAATATAAAACAATCAAAACAATAAGTAAATGCCTAAACTACCAGAGCCAGCCCTGATATGAAATTATGTTGTGACTTGCTGCAATATAAATTGACTTGAACTGAACAAAAACTAGCCGAACAAGAGCTAAAGGTTACAAATGAACAAAACAGTAGCTAAAAGCTATACCAAGCAGAACAGTAGGTGAAGCTGGCAAAGCAGTAGCTCAAAACTGACATTAGCAAAACAGTTACAGAGCTGATAGCAAAACAAAAGTCAAAAGGCTTGAATTAGCACCACGGTAGCTAAAAGCTAAAAATTGCAAAATCAAAGCTGAATTTGCTCCTGGTTTTATTCGATTTTTGTATACAGTATACTTGTAGCATTTCAGTTATGAAAAAATTGTTTTATTAAATTTGATGATGTTCTGCAAAAAGTTTGGCTGATAGAGAAGATTAGAGAAGTCCTACAGCTAAAAAACCAACATCAGTTCCAACTTTAAGCCATTTACAGCCCCTTCTCTTCTCCACTCTCAACTTCTCTACTGAATCCACCCAATTAAAGAAATCCACGCTCCACCAGAAGAGTGAAATTTGGACAACGCAGGACATTCGTGTTTGTTTTTTGGGCACATCTGTATTTAATTTAATGAGGAAGTATTCAGATAATTAGAGATTTTCTTTTTATTTTGTGTGTAAGCTTGCCTGTCAGGAAGTAGAAGGAGCCATCGACTAATTGGAGGGTCAGGATTTCCATCCTTTTGATCATCCGGCCCGCGTGTTTTTGGGGAACAAAACCCAAACCCTAATTGCYTCCTAATTGCCGTCACCGTTGGCCAGAAAATGTATAAAATAGAAACGGACGTGCTTAAATGAGTCTGATGCCAGGTGCCAACACGGGATAATCTCAACCCCGTCTTGATGACGGCGGCGCTCGGGGCGAAACGGGTCAYGCTCAACGCAGCTGACCCAGACTGGGAGAGTGGCAGGTGCGTAAGTTGGCGAGACGTGTAGGTGGAGAAGGGAGGGTGACAGATTTAGCTTGTCCGCTCCGCCGCTCAGTGAGTCGGCAACAGGAGACGAAGACGAACGCACGACCGAAGGGGCAGAGGATCGATACAAAGACGCTCACGCGCAAAACAAAGAGACGGTTTCGCCTGGACCGATAACAGCTGATGCTCTGTCTGATCCTCTGCTTATCTGTCTGTCCTTTCAGCTGACAAACACACACGCATTCCACTCCACTGCCCGCAAAAAAAAAATGTAGTTTCACATTTCAAGCATTAAGTCACACACAGGTGCAGACACACCCTGCACAAAAAAAAAAAAAAAAAAATGTAGTTTCACATTTCAAGCATTAAGTCACACACAGGTGCAGACACACCCTGCACAAGCACACACTCATCCTACTGCTTTTAACCTTCCACCAGTTGCTAGGAAACAGAGCACGTCCACAGATTGTTTACAAATCCTTGTAATATCTCAGATAAGGATGGAGAGAGGGACGGGGGGAATGACAGATGACACAATCCCCTCCGAYGGAGAGATAAGGGGAACGAAAGAGAAATCGACGAAGCGTCAAAGTGGGCAGTAATTCACCGAGGTTACGGCTCCCAGGTGACCGGAGCGCTGGGAAAGAAAAGTCCATGTTTTGTGATTTTATCCTGTGTTTCTGAGGCAAACACAACAGTCTGGATCTCTTCTGTTGAGTGGGGAAGTCTTGGCACACACGCCGAGTCATGTGTCGTTATTGCTGAGTCAGCATTCACTCTTTTTTTTCTGTTTTTTTCTTATCTAGCCGC